CACAGGCTAGCACAAACCAAAAAATAAAATTAATTTAAAGAATCTAAATAAAATAATAAATAAAATTCAACAATGTATGCAGGGAATAATACTAAATGACCAAAAAAATAATTTGTCTCTGGACTTTGAGGATGACTCAGTTCTAGAAAATTTTTTGATGTAATCTGTTATATTAACAAAAGAGAACAACTATGTTAGATTTTGAAAAAGCATTTGCTACACCCATTTCTAATTTAAAAAAAAATGAAACAAAAGCTCTTTCTGTCACATAGAATATCTGGAAACTTCCTTAGCTCATTAAACAAAAAATTCCAAAATCTATCATAAGCATCACATGTGATGGTGAAACAAAAATCTTCTCATGCTATTGTCATCACTATTCACACTGTACTGAAGGTTGTAACCAATGCAACAAGACAAGAAACATGTATAAAGTGTAAATATTGGAAATTAAGAATTAAAGCCATTACAGTTGACCCTTGAACAGCATGGGGGTTAAAGGCACCAACCCCCATGCAATTAAAAATCTGCATATAACTTTTGACTCCCTCAAAACTTAAGTTGTCCCTCAGTATCCACCGGGATTGGTTCCAGGGTTCCCCACTGATACCAAAATCTGCAGATGCTCAAGTCCCCCACATAAAATGGCGTAGATCAAAGCATACTGTTGGTCCTCCATATCTGCAGACTCCAAACCGTGGATCAAAACCAATACAGGTATTTATTTTAAAAAAAGGCCATGCATTTCAAACCCATGTTGTTCAAGGGACAACTGAATTATCTATAGAGTGTATGGTTGTCTGCCTACATATCTCAAGAGAATCAAGTAAAATAATGATTATAATTTATGAGAGTTTACTAAGGTGACTGGATGCAAACCCCCGAGTAATAACTAATAAGAAAATGTAACAGAAAAAAACAGCCCGTTCGCAAGAACCCCAAAGACAATAGAGTCCCTGAGAATTAACCTAATTAAAAATGTGCAAGACTTATACAAAGAAAAGTCTAAAACTTTACTGGAAGACTTAAGAGCTCAATAAATATATAGACATTCTATGTGCCTAAGTGGGAACACTAAATATTATAAAGATGATTCTTCCCAAATAGTCTATAAATCCAAGACAATCCCGCTGAAAAACTTCACAAGATTTTTTAATTGAACATGACAAGCTGCTTGTCAAGTTCTTCTAGAATAGAAGAGAATTCAGGTACATAGTCTTTACTATTTAACTATTTTACTCTTTACTATTCTTTTTTTCCTCAATTCTTTGCTTTTCCATATAAATTTTCGGAACAACTTGCTAAGTTTTATGAGAAACTCCAATTGGAATTTTTATTGGTTTAATTTTTAAATTTTCTCCGTTCCTATAGACTGAAAGCTCTTTAATGACAAAAGCCCATGTCTGTCTTGTTCTCACTGTGTTCCTCTCACCCAGCCCAGTGTCTGGAGGATAGTAGGTGCTCAATAAATATTTGTGGAATGGTTGGATAAATGAACGAATGAATGAGTGACCGACAATAGCATGACTCAACATAAAATGTTGTGCAAGCAATTTAAAATTTGATTATCAAAATATAGTTAATTATGGGAAAGTGTTCACAACATATTAAGTGAAAAAAGTAAGCTTCAGAACTTTTAAAATAAAATGACTTTAATATTGTAATAAATATATGTGTATATATTTTTTATGTATGCATACAAAAAACTAAGAAGGAAATAAAAAAGCAACAGTGGTTGTCTGGGTGGCAAAATTGCAGATTGTTATTTTCTTATGTCTATTTTTCTAATTTTTTATAATCAGCATGTAATATTTATAATAAAATAATAGACATAATTAAAAATAATAAGCAAAAGAAAATATCACAATATTTAAAGTTTATAAGGAGTATGGGAGGGCAGTACTGTCTTAAGTCCGTAAGTTCAGGTGACTCACTGGGTTCTGCAGGACCCTCAGGCTCAAGGCTGCCAAGCAAGTCCAGAGAAGCTACAGAGGAAGCAAGTAGAGACACCTCTAGGGGAGGGGAGACCCTACTGCCACCCCAGCCTATCTCCCAAACTGGGAGCACCTGACCAGTGTCAAAGTGTGATACCAACATTTTCTAAAGCTGGAACGCAGCAACACATAAAATAAAATTTAGAAACACCTCTACACTCACTTCCTCTCATCTTTCCCCACTGTATCCACCCACTGTGACCCCAGAGAAGGGGTGAGGTCAAATGCCACCACAGCAAGAAGGAGATACGGCAGGGAAAATTCTTGCAAAGGGAGAGTAAGTCTACTTTTTTCAGCCGCATGGGTGGTGGGATGAAGAGGTGAGTGGGGCAGAGGTGCTGAGAAAGTGAGCAGGGGAGAATGACTTGTGTTTTTCCCTCCCAGGCTAACATCTGGAGTGTGGTCAGGGGGTGCTGATGGGTTCAAAGGGATGCCAAAAACAGGGGATTTTACCCAGCTTGCCCTTTGGGACTCTGGATGCCTGAGTCTGTTCAGGCTGCTCTAACAAACTACCATAGCACACAGTGGTTTGTAAACAACAGAAATTTATTCCTCACAGTTCTGGAGACTGAAAGTCTGAGATCAGGGTTCCCGCACGGTGAAGTTCTGGTGAGGGCCCTCTTTCAAGTTGCAGACTGTCAACATCTCGACTTCTTGTTGCATTCTCCTGTGGCAGAGAGCAGAGGGAAAGGCAGTGCTCTCCTGACTTTTACAAGGGTTATAAATCCCATTTCATCTAATGCTAATTACCTGCCAAAGGTCCCACCTCCTAGCACCATCACATAGGGGATGGGTAAGGTTTCAACATATGAATTTGGGGGGACACAAACATTTGGTTCATAACAATGCCTCACAGGACCCCTTCTCCCCTGCCCCATCAACATGAGGTGGCTATAGGAGTGTAATAAATGGTATGATATGGTTAAGGCAGAGGGAAGCTTAAGATGAATGTCTCAGATATTCTCCATTTACTCCTGAGAGGCAATTGTTCTCAAAGGAGGCAGTTCCATCACCAAGGGGCGGAATATTTCAAAGCGTGTGTGTGTGTGTGTGTGTGTGTGTGTGTGTGTGTGTGTGTGCACGCACACTCGCATGCATGTGTTCTTAGTTGTCACAATGAGGAGCAGGTGCTTTCGGTTTTCACTGGCTAAGAGGTTTTTGCAATGCCAGGAATTGTCCTGCACAACAAAAGATTCTTCTGCCCCAAATGACTGGACGGCTCCTATTGAAAAATTCTGCCCAAGTATTATGCCCATATGTAGAAAGTTTAAGGAATGTGTACTTGTGTAGGAAAATATAGAATTGTCTTCTGCAATTTGTTGGGAAATTCAAGGGTGTTATGTATCATGGGTCTTCCTCTGCCCCTCGCCCTACCCCCCACCCCCCACCCCCGGCACAGAAATTCCTAGTTAATCATTACACATTTACAGATTATGAAACAAGCCATGGTCTGAACTTAAAGCAGTGTTGCAATCAGAGAAACCACCTGGACCACCAAAAAGTAATGTTAAAATAACTCAATTGTTTGTCTTACATTTCCCAAATATGATTAAAGGATATACATAGTCCTAAGCAACATTTTTTTTTTTTTGTTAAATCTCCACTCTTCATGCCTATCCATTTCCTCACATCCAGTCTGCTGCTTCTCCTCAATTAACTAAAAACTGAGAAAAAGCCCTCCTCTCCTCTGGCTCCTTTTCTAATCTCTATCACTAAAGCTCAACTCTGCGGGCTAAAATTTGGAGGATGCTCTCATCAATGGGTTTCAGGCTGGGGATCTGGGGGTCAGATGGCTCAG